TTATAAATGGGAAAACAAAAACTCATAAGAGTTTTGAGCCTAAGCATCTTGCCTAAAACCCAAAGCTCAAACATGAATAGCATTTAAATTCTTCCTCCAGTTTACCTATGAAATTATTTTGGAAAAAATTATTTTGAGAAACAAGTTTTCCCCTTTATGGGAGAGGAACAGGAAAGGTAAGGTCTTCTAATATTGTATTGAAATATTAATTTTTCAAGCCCAAGCAATGTTTTGTTTTAACGTTAGAAGAAAAGCCATGCTGCTCATGATAGAAAGAGGTATAAGGAAACAGAAAAGGAAATACCTATGAAATCTATGAGTTTTACTTTCATTGTGGTTTTCATCATGATTTGTGGGTGGAGGGGTAAAAAGGAGTTATGAGTATTTCCTCCCATTTTATAGATGAGAACATTGAGACTTGGAGCAGTTAAGAGTTGTCCAAGTTTATCCACCTGGTATAAATCAAAATCTTGAGCCAAGTCAAAGTTTTGTAATTCCAAAATCCCTTTTGCCTTTTGTTTCCTATGTATCTGCAAAGCATGTCTTTTCCAATTAAAAATTCACTAAAATTGCTTTCAAATAATGAACGACAAGATACAATTTCAGAACCCTCATGTCGTGCCTGAGATTTCTGGAGACATGAGCAGGTATTAGAGTAACACCGAGCGGTGAGCTCCTACTAGGTGCTGACACACGACAAGAGGTCTGTTACCCTCACAGCCTTTTTAGTAAGCCTGGTTTCTCTCTATCCAATGTTTATTTCCAAAGTTTCTCTCAGGGCTATTTGTCTAAAGCACTTTTGAGAAATTAACTTTATTGCAGTACAATCCATGAAGGGGTTTCTGTTTGATAGGCAGATGTACATACATGCACACTTATATGAGAGTGACCATGGAAGGAATATTAACACCCACACGAATCAGCATATGGAACAAATCCACCTGTCACCCCCAGCTTGTTTAAGGGGTGGGGCAGGAGAAATGGGCAGCAGAATCATCTAGGGAGCTAGCTTTAAAAACAGACATAACCCCCACGGACCTTCATTCCTACCTTCCTTCCAGAGATTTTGATTTGGTAATCTGGAGAGAAAACTAGGAACCCATATTTAAAAAGTTGCATGTGTGCTTCTAACAGACACTCTTATTTAACCAGTTGCCCAGAAGAGCCCATACTGAACACAACAGAAATGTTTAGAAGTAAAGAAGGGACTGACGCAGGTTAAGGGTGTTTAAGATGCTGTTCCCCTCCCTGGGAGCAGGGCCACTTTTACCACCCAGCCAAGCTCCCTTGGCCAGCTGTCGCCTTCGCCAGGACATGGTTTTGGCTCTTGGATGTTGTGCTTTGGACGCGTCTGCCTTGGCTTCTGTCATCTGCATTCCTCTGTAAACAGGACATGTTCTTCTCTGCATACGGGGTTCAGGCTTGGGCCTGCCACAGTCATGGAACACGTGCCTGGAGTATATAGGTCAGATTTATTGCTCAGAGTCACTTCGCTTTGCATTTGCTAGTCCTTGATTTTTTATTTTCCTGTCTTTCCAGAGCTCTGCAGGATCCTGAGTGTACTGGCTCTCAGCCATTCAATGCTGTCTGCATGGTACAGCTTTTATAAAAATCTCAGTCCTGCTCACCTGGAATTAAATCAGAATGTCCAGGGTGAAGTAGAAGCCAGGGTGAAGTGAAGGTCTGATTGAAAAGGCCCCAAGCAGTTCTGATGTGTAGCCCAGCTGAGAACCTTCACTGTCAGAAACCTAGCCCATTAGTCTAGAACATTGTAACTTTCCTGAGGTGCTCCAAAAGCTTCTGAAAAAGAGTTCCATTACTCCCGGTTTTTGCATTTGTATAACTATGTGAAATAACAATTAGGAACCCAATGAGTCATAGTAAAAGTAATAGTTTTGGGAAATCAGGCAAGAAAAATAAAGTTTTAAGAATAACCCTTGTGCCAAGCATAGTGGTGCACACCTGTAATCCCAGCACTCAGGAGGCTGATCCACGAGGATCACTGTGAGTTTGAGACCAACCTGGCCTATATAAGCAAGTTCAAAGCCAATCTGTACTACATAATAAGACTCTGCATCAAAAAACAAAACAAAAAAATTCTTGCATGATTGCAGATACAGAAATCAAGAGTAAACAAGTCTTGATAAAAAGAATGGAGACATCATGCCCAGTACCCTCTACTAGATCCGTGATGTCAGGACGGAATCTTGTGTGAGAAGCTGATCTTATGCCTCTAGCCCATTCCATAGAAGTAAGTGCCATGTTCGGAGTCTCGGGGGATTGTCAGTGGTTATAGTGACAAGCCATACCTTCATCCCCACCCAGCATCAGTGCGAGGAAACACGGAGAGAGTGATGAGGTTAGCTGAGACATCCTCTTGTCCTCTTGTCACTGTGTTACTGTGGGGCTCAGTGGGGAGCTGACTCACACTCCCCTCTAGGAAAGAAGGAGGTGCTGGGAGTCAGTGACAAGCTGTTGCTAGGAAAGTGTTAATAGGGCCTTCGAGAAAGCTGAATTTCCACCAATCATTGGCAACAAGGTGGTGTGAATTGGTGCCTCACTTTTGCCAGGCAGCGAAAGCTGAATTTCCCTGCCCATCTGGCCATTAAGCTCTGCCTTTGTAGGGGGACATCCAAGGAAAAAGCACTAAATAAGATTCAGAGTCTTATAATTTAATATTCCAAGTGGTGAGGCTTTGGTTAAATGTCATTTGTCATTGTAATTAAGGAACTGGCCTCATATAAATGGATGTCTGGCCTTTGTCCTCAACACCTAAGAGGTAATTTATGTCATTCCTTGTAAGAATGCCTTTGTTAGGCCAGGTTAGGCTGGTTATATCCAAGAGCTATAGGGTGACAGCACAGTGTGCTGGAAGGACCAACAATATGATTTAGAATAGGGACTTCAGGTCACACGATATCAGATAACTTAGAGGCTGAGACAAGCCGTGTGGAAAACTGATCAGTCAATTATGCCTGCAGGATGGAGCCCCAATAGAAACACCAAACCACAGCACAGGAAAATGTTTTCTATTGGCAGTTTTTGGATGTCATCACATACTGATGCCAGGAGAGTAATGCTTCCTGACTCCAAAGGAAGAAGATGGTGGAAACTTTGAGCTTGGGCCATATTCATGAATTTAATAGATTTTGGTGAGTTTGAGGAGGCATTCAAGTGCAATTTTGTTTCAGGAGTCTGAACAGTTTTCCTCAGCTCATGAGTGCTGGGGACTTCTGGGAAGATGGTGCAGTGGTGAACAGCAGAGAAACAGTCTCTAAGGGATTCAGGGTCCAGAGGCCAGAATATAGCAATGTGAGGAAGAGAAGGGAAGTGGGTCCCTGGGACCCAGCAAAGATCTAAAGTGAGAACTGAAGCCCATAGTAAGATAGAAGACAAAGACCTCAAAGCAGAAGGAGGTGACAAGCAGCACTTCCTCCCTAAGCCAAGACTCTGGGAGGGGTGGCTTGAACCTGCAGGTGCACAGAGACTGCTGTCAACCTCAGTGGGCTCCACAGAGAAAGGCCCCAGTGGAATGGAGCAGTAGGTGCAGCAGACTGCAATGGCTGATGAGTTAGTTATTCAGGGTCAGACATCCCCCACGAGAGGGTGATTGCCCTTTTAGGGGTCAACTGAACTGAGACTCACAGCAGCTTCAGGCTGGCTATGTCTAGTGGCTCCCAGTGCCAGGATGAGGCAAAACCAAATTCAGATCTGCACGAGTCATACACAGTGTTGCAGGCTAAACCAACTGAGTGCCAGCCTCACAGCCAGAAACCAACCTGTACTTCAGAGGAACTAAAGGCGCAGGCTTGCTGGGATTATCCACTACCCCACTGTGAATCTATACCTGACTTCCTAGGATTAATCAACATGGTCCCCTGGGCTCTGTCTACTCTATCAATGATAGCAGAGATGTGCTCTGAAGTGGACATTTCTTCTTCTTCTTCTTTTTAAAACTTTTTTTTCATTTTTATTTTGTTTTCCTTTGGTTTTTGCTTGTTTTTATGTAAGTGTGAAAATTGTTTCTAACTTTTTGTTGCTCTTCTGTCCTTGTTTTTAATTCTTCCTTCTCTCTTTAGCAGTTTCCCAAAGTTAATGCAATCTTCCTCTAGCCTTGCTTTTAATCTCTTCCTTTTCTTCTATTTCTTATTTACATTTTATTTTAAAGAGAAAAAAAATATGAAACAAAATAAAGCAATGGGAATGATACTGGATTTAAAAAACAAGACAGCAGCAAATCAACCATAGTTACTATAATGCACATTGTCATCCTCTAAATAAATGATTGGACCACAGAAACAGGCATACAAAGTCAATCAAACAGTGCAAACAGCTGTTTCTTTACTTCATTTTCCATCATTTCAGAAATTTCAGATGTGTGGCTTCTAATTTCCTCTATGTCTATGTCTCCTGGGTGAGATTCTGGGTGAGATATAGGCATGCAAAATTAATGAAACACTATAAGCACTAAATTGTCTCTTCAGTTGCTAATGCTTTGGAGATTTCAGGTGTGTAAATTCTAATTTATTTTGTGTCTGTGCCTTCTGGACTTGATCTGGGTGGGCTGGAGGTCTGAGACTGTACCCTGCTCTTTTGTCTTGACACTTTCCTGTGTTCCTTTGGATCAGCTGAGTCTCGTGTGTTTCCTGCCTTGCTGCCCATCCTGCTGTGTAGGGGATGAGGCTAAGACTTGGGTTGTTCCAATCTGAGGTTCCTGGGGTGGTAGAGAGGTTCAGGGCAGCTTCTCACTGGTACTCCTCCAGTGATGGCAGAACCCTGGGGGTGTGATTTCCTCTTCTCTGGGCCACAGTGATGGGTTCATTGGGAGGCATGGCTTCTTCTCGAGGACTGCAGCAGTGGGCTCACCAGGGGCTTGGCCTTCTCTCCTCCAGGACTGCAGTGGCAGGCTCACAGCGGCAGTGGCCTCCCTTTCTCCAGGCCTGAGACAGTGGGCTTGTTGGTGGACATGGCTTCTTCTCCTCCAGGCTCACTGAGGAGAAAGTTGTTTCTCTCTAATGATTTGACTGTAACATTTCTGAATTTCTGAAATGGCCAACAGACCATAGAAAGATACCACCTTAGACTCCTGCTTGAAACCAGTGACTTCAGAAAACTACTGGCCTTGACTCAGGGCCATCCATCTTCTATTTCTCTACCACCACAACCCTTTTATATTTCCTCTCCCAAGGGTAATATTGCTGTAATGAGGGCATATATTTATTGTATACAGTTTTTTTTGGCTTGTTTTGGCCTTTATGATATAACCGCCAATCTAGTTCATATGGTTATAGGTGGCAAATTAATTGTCACCACAATTTGTCATTCTCTAGGCTGTGTTTGATGCTATTGCTATTGCTGATTGCACTACTTTAGGCAAAGTGACATAATTGTCCTAATTAGTTGTTCTTCCTGGTATGACAAGACAGAGGGTCACAAATAATACTATCAGCCAGTGCCAAAGAACTGAGGGCTAGACCAAATAGACAGCAACTTCTCATCCCCAACGAAGTGAAGAGGTAAGATCTTGAAACAGACTCAAAACCACAGTGCTAGCTGCATCTGAAAGGCGTCTCTGAGCAGTAGTCACTTCTTAATTTATTTAATAAATAGTGGGAGATGTGAAGAAAATGTTCAAATGTGAAGGAGAACAAGGGAGGAGAAAGGGGGAAAGGAAAGAAGGACAAGAAAAAAAAACAATAGAAGAAAAAATGGAAACAAAGCTTTTGTAAATAAAGAGGGGAAGAAAGCTTGCAGGGAGAGGAATGGGGAAAAATGAAGCAGGTTGTATCATGTACAGGCACAATTTACCTATGATGAACGTTACCATTATGTGTATCTAAAACGTCCCAATAAAAAAGGAAGAAAATTTGACAAAAAATAGAAGCTATAAAAATAAACACATGGAAATTATAGAATTGGAAAAAATAGTCTAGAATTTTAAAAGCTCACTGGATGGACGCTGTATAAGATAGACTTTATTATAAAGTTGAAGGTAAATCAATATAATGTACCTTGTAGGAACTTGTTAAGCTTTAGATCAAGAAAGTCCCTTCAGGTGTCCCTTGCCCTCAGAGGCAGGGCTTTCAGAAGGTGATTTAACTAGGTGGTAACAGAAGACTTGCTCTTAGGTGGCAGGGTCTGGTCTAAGAGTGGGATTGTGGGGAGGGGCGATCCTGGAAGGGTGTGTCTCTCTCGCTCAGTGACAAAGAAAGTGACTAACATAGTACTGAACACAGAGATAATAGTTTTAAAAATGAATAGAGTCCCATGGGTCTGTGGGATAATAGCAGCACAATTAACATTCATATCATCACATCCCAAAATGGAGGGAAAAGGAAAAAGTGACCCTAAAATTGTGTTCAAAGAAATAATGATAGGAATGCTCAAAATGTGGCAAAAGGGAAGTCAAGAAATGAGCAATTAATGGGACTAACTAAATGAAATCCACGCTCATACATATTATAACTTCTGAAAACTAAAAGCAAAGAAGTCTTAAAAGTAGCCACAGAGAAATGATGTATAAGAGAACACTAATTTAACTAAAAACATTTACTTGTCTGAAACCATGGAGACCAGAAAATACAGCATTTTCCAGCACTGAAAGGAAAAAATTGTCAACTGTAAATCCTTTATTCAGAAAAACTACATTCTTAAGGAACGAGGGGGGAATAAATATACCTAAAGATAAATGGAAAAATGGACTTTTTTAGATTTTTGTTATTATTTTTGCTTTTGCTCACAAATCTAACTTTAGAAGTGGCCAAAGGAAGATGTCTAAGCAGAACAGAAGTGATGACAGGAGTAGGGATGGAACATCAGGAAGGAAAGAATATATGTGTGACCAAAAATGGCAGACTTCTCTGCTTTTGATAAACCTGAAACGTGGTTTCTGAAATCATATTTGATGATTGAAGCAAAGTATAGTGTTATCGGATGTGGTGCTTGGTTGTATAACCCAGAATATAACTTACATTAGCAAACATGCACAAAAGGAAAACTTAGGTACAAATCTAACAAACTAGGTACAGAATTTGGGCAAGAAGATTTATACACTCTAATGGAAGAAAGCAAAGATCTGAATAAATAGAGAAATATATATTTTTAATGATCATGGATAGGAAGATCATTTATTAAAATACCGACCTACAGATTCGATACAGTCTAAATCAAAATCCCAGCAAGTCATTATGTGAACATCAACAAATTGATTCTGAAGTTTACACAGAAAGGCAAAGGCTCAAAATAACCAACACAGTAGTGAGGAAGAAGAACAACATTCGAGGAATAAACATTGTCCAACTTCAAGGCTTACCGTAAGTAGTACAAAAATCACGATATTGGCTAGAAAATAGACTAGTGGCTCAAGAGAAAATATAGCGAACCCATAAATGGGCATATCAGATGTAGTCAACTGATCTTTGATAAAGGAGCAAAGGTAATTCAATGGAAAAAATGTGGTCTTTTCAAATGGCGGTGGGGGGGCACCAATTGGAGACATCCTTCAAAACAATGAATCTAGGACTGGGGATTTAGCTCAGCAATGTAAGCACCTGCCTGGCAAGCACGAAGTCGTGAGTTTGAGCCATGGTACCAAAAACAAACAAACAAACAACTTCAATGAGTCTAGTTACAAATTTTATACTTTTTACAAAAGTTAACAAAATTGATCATGAATCTAATGTAAATTTAAAAACTCTGGTGTATAGTAGATAACATGAGAAAAATCTAATAATTTGGGTTTGCTTGTGAATTTTTAGACATAAAGTTAAGTGCATGATCTATGATAAAAGCATTGATAAATTAAACTTCATTAAAATTAGAATCTTCTTTCTTGTGAAAGACATTGTTAAGAGAATGAAAAGACAAGTCATAGAGTGAATGGAAAACCGTTCACAAAACATGTATCAGATAAAGGATTTGTATTCAAGTTGTACAAAGAACTCTTTAAAATGTAACAGTAAGAAAACAGCCCACTTAAAAGTGGGAAATTCATCAAAGAGAACATGGAGATGGCAAACAAGAATATGAAAAGATAGCATCATGTATTAAAGATGCAAAATGGTGCGGTGTGGGGCTGGGGATTTAGCTCAGCAGCATAAGCACCTGCCTTGCAAGCAGGCAGTCATGAGTTCGATCCCTGGTACCGATAAAAACGAAAAAGACAAAAAAAAGAAAAGAAAAGAAAAAAGTGGTGCGGTGATTTTGAATGTGAATTGCTGGTTTCTTACCATGCTAAACATACTCTTAACTTGTGATTCAACAGCTGTGTGCCTACGTACTTTACCCAATTAGATAAAAAAGCTACATCACACAAAAAGCTGCTTATGATAATTTTATTCGTAATTATCAATAACCGAAAGAAACCGGGATATCTTCAACTAGGTGAAAGGATAAACAAATTTTCATGCTTCCACACAGTGGGTGACACTATTGTGATATTACTGGGACTTAGGGGAAAGTTCCTGGAGGCAGTGATAGCTGAACTTCAAGTTGGCAGAAGCCAGAGAAAAAGAATTAGGCACAGGAAGCACAAGCGAGTCTGTGGAACTCAGGGAATGGTGCTTTTATTGTCATGGTCTCTGCTTCCTCATCTGTAAAATGAATGTGATAACAGTACCTACCTTGTATAGTGGTTGTGAGGATAAGATGGACTTACAACATAGAGTATATGAGCAGTATAGGCATATGCAGAGGGTGACAGGTTGATGATGAAGTTAGGGCAGGAGAAAATGCTGGTGACAAGAAAGCGGTCAGGAGAGGCTCAATCATCGAATGTAAAGTAGAGGAGAAGAAGGTGGAGAGAGGGGGAGCAGAACTCCTAATTGGGATTGAGTAGGAAAGGCTAGAGTCTGGGAAGAGAAGTAGGGGTGGGGGAACGGGCCAATTCCAACAGCAAATCAGTGCCCAGTCCAGGTGGAAAGAGGGGGTTTGGGGATGGGGGCCTGGGAAGCTTTGGGTTGGAGGTGAGGTAAGGCAAAGGGACGTGCACAAGGGAGGATGTACTGGGGACTCTGGATTTCTCCAACCTAGTAAAAGATGGAGAGAAGCAGAATGAGAAAGGGTGTAATGTTTTTTTTTTTTTTTCCAATAGTCATTGCTAAAATGTTTCAAACAAGAAACCGAGAAGAGGTCATAGAAATGAAATTTTCTTTCTACAAAAGTTCTGGCACCAAATGTGTTTTTTAATTTTTATTTTGAAAAGAATAAAACCAGTTGAGAAAAAAAAAACCACAATGGGGTCATTCAAAACAAAAGGATGGACATAGTACATGATTTAAAACCACAATACAAAGTGTTCTACAATGGTTACCATGATGTCTCTTATTATCTTCAATAGAATTGCCCATATCATCAGGCATAGTAAAATTGAACATAGCAGTACAGAACAAAATCAATTAAAAACAAAACATTGGAGACATTATGTAGGACTTCACAGGAGGGTAATTGTCAAACCAGAATGGGTATCACAGTGAATCTTATTGTCTTCAGTGTAGTTGCCTATATTCTCAGACTTGATACTATCAACCAAAACAGAATAGAATAAAATTAGTCAAGACAGGAGGGTAATTGAACAAGACAGATTCAAATAAAATAAGTCAAAACAAGGCAGTGAAAACAATACAGGGCTTCAGATTAAGTTAATAGGAAATTAGAAATGGTTACCATAGTATGTCCTGCTATCTTTGGAATAGCTCTCTATGCTCTCCATCTAGTACAAGCATGTGTTTGTTCCTTACACCAACCAATTCTCTACTCTCTGGACACCAAATGGCTGTCTTATAATCTAGTTCAGTTCAGACACTAACTACCTGGAGCTGGTCCAGATCCCAGAGGCTAAGAGTTCTACCAGACAGTACCTGAACATCAGGTTCCAGCATCAAACCCCAGGTTCCACTTGTACTTCAGGACACCCATGAATCACAGTTTCCCGTGGCCACATCCTCAAGTTTGACAAATTTTTTTGAATGAATCTAATAGGGCTGGAGGTTTAGCTCAGCGAATCTCAAAATTGGAAAGAGTTTTACTTACTTTAACAAGTGGACTATAAAGGATACAACTCACAAACAGCCAAATGGAAGTGATGCCTTAGACAAGGCATAAGGTGTGGCGTTTCCATGTTCTCTCCGAGCTGCCTGT